TACCGTCAGTAGAACCCAGCACCTCCTGAGTCCGTGAGGCCACGTGCAGCCGGTCAGAATTACCTACAGCTGACAAGATTGTGCGGGAAGGAGCAGCTGGAATCTCAGGGGAGGACATTTTAAAGTTTATTAAAAGGTCATTTGCCAGTCTAAACTGATTTAACTGTAGTTGGCCACCAGACCAGATGGGACTTGGTTCTGCCTATGTCCTCACACTGACCACTGGGTGGCGCTGGGGCCTGTGGATTGAACTGACCTGGCCAATGACTTAGAAACCCAAATCAGACTGATAAAATCCCTATGAGGGCTGATAACTCAGAGTGACTGCTATGGTAGAGAAGGATGGGGATGAGGGATCCTTGAAAAAGGGAACTGTAGGCCGGGCAGTGGTGGCGCACGCCTTTAGTCCCAGCATTTGGGAGGCAGAGGCAGGCGGATTTCTGAGTTCGAGGCCAGCTTGATCTACAGAATGAGTTCCAGGACAGGACAGCCAGGGCTACACAGAGAAACCCTATCTGGAAAAAAAAAAGGGAACTGGGAACTGTAATCCCAGCAACAAAGTAGGCTGCTGCAGGACTAAAATTTGCTTTGTTGTTATTGTTTTGTGTTTTTCTTTGTTCTTGTTGTTCTTGATAAAGCCATAATGATAAGGTCTCTTGTAGCCCAAGCTGGCTTCTAATGTGCCTCATGGTGGAGAATGATCTGGAATTCTTCATCCACCTCTAGAGTATTGAGATTACAGGCATGTGCCACCACATCACCTTTCTGTGGTGCTGGGGACTGAACCTAGGGGTTCATGCATGCTTGACAAATGCTGTAACAACTGAGCTACATTCTAAGCCCATGGATTGCAAGGCCAGTCTGGGAAATTCAGTGAGACTGTCTCTAAAGGGTGAAAAACAACAAAAGCAGCAAAAACCTAACAAACAAATATACAACAACCCAACAGCAAAACGTGGATGGGAAGACTGGAGATATAGCTCAGTGGTGGGGTTTCCCTAGCCAACACGAGGCCTTAGGTTCAATTCATTGTTAAAAAGCAAAACAATGCCGAGCTCTATGTGGTTACTTACACCTGTAAGCCAAGGACTTGGGAGGACAAGGGGATTGCAGTAAGTTTGAGGTGACTCTGGGCTACATATTAAATACCAAGCCAGCCATGACTAAATAGTGAGACCCTGGTATGCATGAGTACGAATGTACACACACACACACACACACACACACACACACACACGGAGAGCTGTTGTGCAAGCATGAGAACCCAGGTTCAAATCCTCAGAACCTACATAAAGCTAGACATGGAAGCATATCACTGTAATCTCAGCACTGGTGGAGACAGCTAGCTAGCCTGACATACACAGCATTAAAAACAAAAGAACCTGCCAGTGGTGGCACACGCCTTTAATCCCAGCACTTGGGAGGCAGAGGCAGGCAGATTTCTGAGTTCGAGGCCAGCCTGGTCTACAGAGTGAGTTCCAGGACAGCCAGGGCTACACAGAGAAACCCTGTCTTGAAAAACTAAATAATAGGGCTGGAGAGATGGCTCAGCAGTTAAGAGCACTGACTGCTCTTCCAGAGGTCCTGAGTTCAAATCCCAGCAGCCACATGGTGGCTCACAACCACCCATAATGAGATTGGATGCCCTCTTCTGGTGTATCTGAAGACAGCTACAGTGTACTCATATATAATAAATAAATAAATAAATCTTTTAAAAAAAGAAAGAAAAACCAAATAATAATAATAAACAAATAAATAAATAATAAAAGAACCTATTTTGAACAAGCTGGAAAACAAGGATTGGCACAGGAAGTTGTTTTCTGACTTCCATACACATACATGTCATAGCATTCTTTTTTTGTTGTTTTTTTTTTTGTTTTTTCTTTTTTTTTTTTCAAGACAGGGTTTCTCTGTATAGCCCTGGCTGTCCTGGAACTCTGTAGACCAGGCTGGCCTCGAACTCAGAAATCCACCTGCCTCTGCCTCCCAAGTGCTGGGATTAAAGGTGTGCGCCACCACCGCCCGGCCATGCCGTAGCATTCAAATGCCCACATTCACACAAAAGACTACACACAAAAATAAAATAAAGGATGGAGTTGGGGGATAGGGGTAGGGGTGGCACATAACTTTAATCCCAGCACTCAGGAGACAGAGGCAGGTGGATCTCTGAGTTCCAGACCAACCTGGTCTACAAAGTGAGTTCCAAGAGTGCAAGGGCTACACAGAAACACTGTCTCAAAACAACAACAACAACAACAAAGGCTGGAGAGATAGCTTCATGGTTAAGAACACTGGCTGCTCTCCAGAGGGTTGTATTCCCAGCACTCACATGGTGCCTCATAACCTTCTATAACTCTAGCTCCTGGGTATCTGATGCCCACTTCTGGCCTCTTTAGACACTAGGCACACATGTGGCACACAGACATACATGCAGATGAACATCCATTCACATACAACAAATTTGAAAAAAAATTAAACTAATGAAATGAAAATAGGCCAGATGTGTGGCTCATGCCTCTAATCCTAGCACTAGGGATGCAGAGGAAAGCAAATCTTCAAGTCCAGCCTGTTCTACATAGTAAGTTCCAGGCTAGCTGGGGCTAGATAGTAAGAACCTGTCCCAAAAGAAATTAAAGATAGAAATGAGGATGTACCATTTTCCTGAGTACATGATTTCTTATGTGTCTCCTACTATAGCCATGTCTGGGATGAACGTAACTTTGGACTTGATCTTACCTGGACCTGAGCACAGATGCTGCCTTCCCCTTGTGTGTTCTTGTGCCAGGAAACGTTCATAACTCCATAAAAAGACCACCATGGAGCCAAATCTGATGCAAAAGGATTAGGGTCTCTCTATTCAAGCTCCAGCTTGGGCTCCCTCCCAACCCTGACATAGCAAGAAGGTGGGGCCCTGAGCCTAGTTTTAGGCAAGCATTTATAGCGACAAGAAAGGGGACTCTAACCTGGTACACATCTGACTGGGAGGCCATTATGGCCTTTAACATAATTGGCTAGTGCTGGGAGCCAAACTACAAACTTCTGCTTTCCTCCTGATTGGTGGTTGTTAGGAAGTGACGTGGCAGGGGCAGGTTTGTAACCTGGGGATGCAGATTTGTTGGAGAATAACCTGTATACTGATGCTAGATGCAGGTTTTGTTGGGGGTGGGTAACCTGGAAACTGGTGTTAGACACAGGTCTTGTCAGGGGTTAGCCTGGAAACTGGTGCTAGGTACCAGCCTGTTAGTTAACTTGAGTTCAACCTTAAGTTAGGTTCTCTAAGATGGAGTCTGAACCCAAAAGATTTGGTCTCTCAGTGTGGTCTTAGGTGTCGGGATTAGCTGGAGAGTTCTTTAAAACTAAAAGCCTTTAGTCTCGCCACTGTTGGACCAGTTGACGTTTGTAAACGCTCCATTTGTTTGTTAGGGCGGCCATAACAAGATACCACACATTGTTATTAAGCTTAAATATAAATGCTACTTTCTCCTAGTTCTGATCATTTAAAGGTCAAAACCAAATTACAGACATAGTTGGTTTTTCTGAGGCTCTCACTCCTCAGCTTGCAGACAGCCATGTTTTCCCTCAGTAACTGTGTTCTAATCCTTTCTTCTGAACGGGAAGAGAAGATTTACTTTTACTTAACCATAACTAACCCTGTAAAGATCTTAAATAAGTCATGTTCTAAAATACAAGTTAGAAATTTCAGCTATTGGGGACGATAAGAATCAATCATGACAAGGACACTGGGATTTCATCGACAATCTATCTATATCTATATCTATCTATCTATCTATCTATCTATCTATCTATTCATCCATCCATCTATTTTAGGTAAGGTCTTATTATATATCCCAGGCTAGCTTCAAATCTGTGTTAATCCTCTATCCTTCTAGAATGCTGGGATCAGAAACATGAGCTACCATACCCGCCTGAGGAATTTTATTTCTAGTCCTAAGTTTGTTGAAGTTTTTTTGGTTTTTATTTCTGCTTTTTGAAACAGAGTCTCTCGGCATAGCCCAGGCTATCCTGAAACTCACATCACTGTAGTCCAGGCTGGCCTCAAATTCACAGAGATCTCTCTTCCTCTAAAGGACACTACCATCCAGACACCTATACTCATATATATACTTAATAGCAATAATTTCTTTTACAAATGAAAATGCAGCTATTACCAATCATGGATAGGACCTGCTATGGTGAGCTAAGCCATCTCTTGAAGCAGAAGATCCTGAGGCTCTGGGTATTGTTCAACACTGTACACCTTGCTGCCTGGCCTTGTCCCCACCACCTGAAATCCATGACATTCATATTCCATCAGTGTTTCTCCAGAAGTCCATGCAGCCCACCTGTACCCTAGCAGAATCTCCAAGGAGGTGACATCTGAGAGTGTGCTGACTCTCTAGGGTCAGGGACCACACCAACTTCAGAAGGACAAAGTATTAGCTTGTAAGGCCGTCCTTTAGAATGGCTGATGTAACTTTTGTGGGCATTTGACTATGGTCTACATGTCAGCCTTTGATTTGGCTGTGCTAGAAATTCAGTGATTCTGGTGGGATTACGTAGGCTTCAGCTAGGCCCTAAGTACCAAGGTAATTTGCTGCCTTCCTGCTCCACTGCTTCAGTTTGTCTAGAGGCAGGCTTGTTCACAGCAGGACTCGAGTCAGTCAAGGGCATCCATCACATGCCCTCCTCTCTGTCTGCTTTGCCCCAGTCTTAGCCCAAAGTCACATGGGTAAGCATGATGGGCCCGGAGGCTGACCTCATCCCCTCGCACTGCCCAGACATATAAAGCACACCTTTCTCCCTGAAGGTTCGGCCTCAGCTTGCTCCTCTATGATCCCGCCAGTGACATCTGTCTGGTGAATAGTTACTTCCTGCTTTATGTTTAATTTATGACTTGGGGTTTGGGATGAGCTTCCCAAGAAAGGAGAGAACTCCCCTGGGGTCTTGCCCAGTTCCTGCCCGCTTTACTGGCCCACTGCCAAAGTCCCAGCCTCCTCCCTATGACTGGGGCTGGGGAGTAGAAGCTGTCCGTGGGCTTGGAGGACACTGTCCCTGCCAGGGTACAGCCATCAGTGGCTAATCCCACAGCCCTGGAATGTCTGTAGGTCAATCAGCAGGGTCTTTGGGGGCTCCCCGAGGGTGCTAATAATCCTACAATGATTAGCAGGGACCACAGGGTCAGTGCACACTGCCCTGCTTTCTGTGGAGCAGGCTGGCCAGACAGAGGCTGGAGTAAGGAAGCGTTTAGAAGGAAGGTTCTATGTCTCTTTTGAAGCCAGTGTACCACAGAGGGGAGGCTGTTTGGACACAGTGATGATTCACTAGCCTCCTCCTTTTGTCTGGCAGATTAGCCTGACTCCCTGAGACTTGTGAATAGCTTCAGGAAGCCTCAGAGTCTAGCTGGACGGCTGAGAGAAGCCATGTCTGCTGCACCAGGCAGGCCAATGATTCAGCCGGAGCCCTCCCTGGGGTCAGGAAGCCAGAGCCGATGGCTTGGTCTCTTGCTTCTGCTCCTGTCTCTCTTTGGGATCACCCGGACAGAGGTGCAGCCACCCCAGCTGCCAAAACAAGCTCCCACTCTGCAAGGTAAGGGATACCTGGGCAGAGACAGAAGTAGAGGTGTTGTTATGAGCCTGAGAAAGGGTATCAAGGGATTTCTAGGAGTCAGGTACCCAGGACTGAGCCCTGCGTTATGCTGATGTGATCTGATGGGGGAACCTATTGGGAGGATGGTGGGGAGGATGGAAGGATACTGGGAAGGAAGAAGAATGAAGAAGATGGGTCCAGGGTTGAGGTTTAAGGAAAGATACTGGTTAGAGTCTGTGGCTAAGACCTCAGAAGAAACACATGTGTAGAAAGGCCTGCTTCTAAACTAGGCTGGGTCTCTCAGTCCTCCAAACACCTCCCCCACCTCCTGTCATCTTCCCACCCCCAAGCCAGTCACTCGCGCCATTGTTCTATACTTGGTCCGTCCTCACCCATCTTCTGTCTTTCTCCTGGCCTCCCTCCATCTCCGTAATGGAAGTTATCCCCTACACAGCTACCACTGCCCCTCCTCATCTCAGATCTGTGTCCTTGGGGCGGGGTCACCCTCACCTGGCTATGGCGATGTCCCAGGAACCGCTGGTCATCGGCCTAACCTTCTCTCCTGGCCTCCAGCCCTGAGCAGGAAAGAGAGTTTCTTAATCCTCACAGCGCACAACCGCCTGCGCAGCCAGGTCCACCCTCCAGCAGCCAACATGCAGAGAATGGTGAGTAGACCCAACTGCTCTGGGTCAAGAGGACTGCCAGAGGGGCTGAGCTCCAGAGTGAGCTCAGGAGGCGTTGCCAGTACCAGAGGCCCTTTCACCTGGGGCACCGTGGTCTTGGTTGCCGGGGAGCTACGTGCCTTCTTCCTTAGGGGGAAAGCCATTTGTATAAGAGGTCAGGGCCCTCAGCAACTCGCAGCTGCATTGAAGACAAATCTGCCTTTCCTCGCATCCTGTCGCCACGGAGTTCAACAGATATGGATGGAGCCAGGGTCTCCCCGTTATCCCCCTGCCCGAAAAAGGAGCTACACAAAGGAACCCAGCAGAAAGGGAGAGATGGAGAACAGAGAGAGAGAAAAACCCCGCTGGGCTTTGGGGGGGACTGGTTTGTGACCAGGATTTATCTAGCAAGTACTGGAAGACCCCTCACAAGTTCCTCACTCATTCACTTACTCGCAGTTTACAATCTCCATGATGGAGGCTGCTGCAGCAGGGTTGGTTGAAGCTGGTCATCCTGGAGGCTTAGACATGCTGCCTTCATAGTCTGGGAGGTCCCTGCCCCCCATAGCTGCAGCCCATGTGAACAGGCCTGGGAACAAGGGTGGGATGGGTAAGGGAGGGCAAGGTTCTCCATGGCTGCCTCCCATAAAGTCTTCATAGGTGGACAGCCACAGTGGGTGGTGACCTGGAGAGCTCTGGAGTCAGTTTCCCAGGAGGTGGGGGAGGGTCTGCTTCTCTCCTCTGCTCTCTCTGTCTCCCAGTGCCCAGGGTCCTGAACAGCCAGGATTTCCCAAGCTGTAATACCTAGCAGAATCCTGCAGCCTGGGGGGAGATGCTATGATTAGCTGCCTGATAGTTTGTTCCTTTCCTGGGTCGCTTAAATGGGCCTGGAAAAATCACATTTGGCCAGACAGGAGCAGAAGAGTTGTTCTGACTGTGCCTAGGACCAGCTCTGTTAAAGGAAAACACAACCAAGCCACCCTGCAAGTCTAGGCACTGTCTAGGCTCAGATTATTAGAGGTGGAACATGATATCAGAAGTCCATCCCTTGCCTGCTATTTCCTAGGCAAGGCCAAAGGTATTTATTGCAAGACTCAAGATAGGAGCACAGTTTTCTTTTCCGGACATGTCTTAGGCAACTCCAGAGCTCCTGTCTGAATGAAACTCTGTGGTTCTGGACAGTGAGGAAAAATGCTCTGATCATTAGGCAGGAGAGCATGACCCTTTGCTCCGTGTGACCTGACACCCCACGGACACACAGAAACAGTAGAGAGTTGGATGGCTCAATGCCCATTTGCTTCTGTGCTATCCAAAGGCCAGTTGTAGTGGTTAGTTTTGATCTTGCCAACCAGAATCATCTGGAAAAGGAATTTCACTGAACAATAGCCTAGATTAGGTTGGACTGCGGACATCTGTAGCAGACAGTCTTAATTACGCTAGCTGATGTAGGAAGACACAGTTTAAAAATGGGTGGTAAAGACGGAGCTAGTAGTGCATGCCTTTAATCCCAACACTTGGGAGGCAAAGGCAGACAGATCTCTGTGAGTTGTAGGCCAGCCAGGTGTCCATATTGAGTTACAAGACAGCCAGGGCTGCATAGAGAGACCCTGTCCCCAAAATACCAAGAAAAAAACCGGGTGGCACCATTCTGGGTTTGAGCCCTGGACCGGAGAACCAGGGAAAAGTGAATTAAGTACAAGCACGCATGCCTTCATTCTCTCTATGCTCCTGACTGTGGGTGTGACTAGCAGCTTCAAGTTCCTGCTATGCTGATGTCCCTGCAATGCTGACCTGAAATTGTGAGCCAAATCCGTCCTTTCTCCCCTGGGTTGCTTTTGTCTCATAGCAACTGGCTGGGAAGCAAATATATCACCTGAGGATATCTGTTTTTGCCACTTCCAGGACTGGAGCGAGAGCCTGGCTCAGCTAGCTCAAGCCAGGGCAGCCCTTTGTGGCACCTCAGCCACCCCAAACCTGGCGTCTACCCCACAGCACACCCCACATGTGGGCTGGAATGTGCAGCTATTGCCCGTGGGCTCAGCATCCTTTGTTGATGTGGTCAACCTCTGGTTTGCTGAAGGGCTGCAGTACAGACATGGGGACGCTGAGTGTGCCCCCAATGCCACCTGTGCCCACTACACACAGGTGAGTATATTTCAGATAAGGTTAGGCTAGGGCATGGTCTCCCCAGTCATCTTACAAGAGGCTATACTTTATCCTTAAAAGGACACTGTCTAGATTTAGATGTTACACACCAGGGGTCTGTGCCTCCTATTCTCCCGATGTTCCTTCCCGGATGAACCTCTTTCTCAACTTCAGCAGTATCATTCTTAAGAAAGTTCCCTTCTGCCAGGCAGTGGTGGTGCACACCTTTAATCCCAGCACTTGGGAGGCAGAGGCAGGTGGATTTCTGAGTTTGAGGCCAGCCTGGTCTACAGAGTGAGTTCCAGGACAGCCAGGGCTACACAGAGAAACCCTATCTTAAAAAAAAAAAAAGTTCCCTTCTTTTTCTCCTCCATTCAACAACTCTGAATACTTGTTGAGTGTTTTTTACATACCTGACACTGTGTAGTGGCCAAGCACAACACTGAATAACACAAACAAAATTCTCAATATGTTTTAATACCTTTAGTATAAATATAATGTTAGTGAAGTTGACCCATGATGTGAGAAAGACTCTTTGTCTCATTTCCTGTTTTCTGGAATCATTTATGATATTTGTTATAATCTTTCCCTAAAATTATTGAGTCTTGTTCCACTCTGTATTTGTGTGTTTCCTATGTGTGTCTGTGTAAATAGACTACTTTTAAATTTATTTTATGTGCATTGGTGTTTTGCCTGCGTGTTTATCTGTGTGAGGGTGTCAGATATTGGAGTTACAGACAATTGTGAGCTGCCATGCGGTTGCTGGGAATTGAACCAGGGTCCTCTGGAAGAGCAGTCAGTGCTCTTAACCACTGAGCCATCTCTCCAGCCCCAATTCTGTGCATGTGTAATGCTAGTGATTCAAACTAGAGTCTTGCATATGTTAGGAAAATACTTTACCACTGAACTATAACTCTAGCTCTAAGATTATAAACTTAACATGTATATTGCATAAAGTAAGACACGGTGCATGCCTGTCATCCAGGCTGAGGATTACCAGCCTATTCAGGAGGTAGAAACTGGAAGATCAGCCGTTCAGTGTCTTCCTTGGGTACATGGAGAGTTTGAGGCCAGCCTAAACAATAACTATCTTCCTTTTAATAACAAAAGAGTATGAGCCAGTGGACTGGGGAATGCAGCTCAACGGTAGAGCACTTGCCTAGTATGTAAATCTCCAGCATAAAAGAATGATGTATACACTGAGCATGGTGGAACATACCCTTGATTCTGACATCTGGGAGGCAGAGACAGGAAGAATTCTATGAGTTTGAAACCAACTCGTTATACATAGTGGTTTCCTGGCCAATGCTGTTGCATCTTGCATAGTGAGACCTTTTCTCTCTCTGTCTCTCTGTCACTCTCTGTCTCTCTGTGAGTACACACACACACACACACACACACATATTGAGAAGAGAAGGCTTGTGGCCATTTTCTTTTTTTTTTTTTCTTTTTTTTTTTTCAAGACAGGGTTTCTCTGTGTAGCCCTGGCTGTTCTGGAACTCACTAGAGACCAGGCTGGCCTCGAACTCAGAAATCCGCCTGCCTCTGCCTCCCAAGTGCTGGGATTAAAGGTGTGTGCCACCACCGCCCGGCTGGCCATCTTCACAATCTTACATAAGGCCCTTGATATCTAAGTCTTTCTTTTGTCACTGTTCTCCTTTCAACACCCAGTAACCCTCAAACTCCGCTACCCCCTCCATTCCAAAAGCTTAAATCAGTTCTAATGGCTGTGTTCAGCATAGCCACTGCTCCCGGGGTCCCAGGCAAGTAAGGAAGCCATCTGTCTGGCTACTTGAAGCCAAACCCTCCCTAAGTGTGCACTGCCTGTGCTGTGATCCCCCAGATTGAAGTAAAAACCCATCTGAAAGGGTTTCTGAGCCTTGTGTTCTCTACAGCTTGTGTGGGCCACCTCCAGCCAGCTGGGTTGTGGGCGGCAGCCATGCATTGTGGACCAGGCAGCGATGGAAGCCTTTGTCTGTGCCTACTCCCCTGGGTAAGCCCCTCACCACAGGCTGGGTGATAGCTGGAAGTGGAGTCGGTAAGAGGACAGGGAGGCTGGGGCTGAAGATGGGAGGGGTGGATGGATGACTTTCAGTTAGGGTGAGCTATGAGCCAAGCCACCCAAAATGCCTTTACCCTTTGGTCTGCGTGGGAGACAAGAGGATGAAAGGAAGAAGATATGGAAGATTCTGGCCATGCAGAAGCAGGATTGGTTCATGAATTCTCCTACCTGGATGTGTTCAGAAAAATCATCTCTTGTTTCCCAACTGACCTATCACATCCTGAATCCCTAACTGGGCCAGAGGTGCTGAGGAGGCCCATGGGGAAGGGATCCAGGAGCCATTCCTGCCCTGCCCTGGGTCCCTCAACGCTGCCCAAAGCTCCTGCTCCTGCCTTGTCCAAGGCCAGGTTCTCTAGACCCTCTGATGCTTGCTCTCACAGAGGCAACTGGGATGTCAACGGAAAGACAATCTCTCCTTATAAGAAAGGCAGCTGGTGTTCTCTCTGCACAGCCAGTGTCTCAGGCTGCTTCAAGGCCTGGGATCATGCAGGGGGGCTCTGTGGTGAGTATCCCTCCGCCTGGAGCAGCAGGTACATGAGGGTTTAGAATTGGTGACCCTGTGGTGGGAACTAGCAGTCTGAAGGGCTATCCTTAAAGCCTTGACCTCCATACCTAAAAAAGTGCCTGCCTGGCCTGCTGGAAGGAGGTCTCTTCTCAGAATTACCTACTATTCTTACCAGAGGTCCCCAGGAACCCGTGTCGCGTGAGCTGCCGAAATCTCGGACATCTCAACATTACCACCTGTCGCTGTCACTGTCCCCCTGGCTACACAGGGAGGTACTGCCAAGGTGAGGACCCAGGGCCCATTCAGGCTGCCCTGCAGGGTAAGCCTGAGGGAGATTTGCCTCAGTGGGTGTACACCTGTCTTGTGGTGTGAACTGGTATAGTGAGCTAGCCGGAGGGCCGGGGTGGCCAGAGACTCAGATGTTCTGAGGGAGTCTGGGGTGCAATTAAAATTATTGACTACTGGGCTTCTGCATTCACTCAATAAAAGCTCACTGAGCCCCAGTTGTGCGCTATACATATGATTTTAAATGTTCAGGGCTATAATCCTAGTACTTGCGAGACTTAGGTAGCAGGGTTGTCATGCGCTCCAGGCCAACGTAGGCTATATAGTGAACTCTAGGTTAGCTCAGGCCATACATAGAGTAACACTCTGACTTTAAAAAAAGGGATAGGGGATTAGATTTGGCCGTTTAAGCTATCTATTGCAACAAAGATAGAATAAGGAAACAGAGGGGGGGGTCTCTCTTGTCCCATGCTCACTTTCCATGACCTTCTGTCTTAGCTAGTATTTTGTTGCTCTATCATGACCATAGCAACTCTTATAAAGGGAAACATTTATTTTATTTATTTATTTATTTATTTATTTATTTATTTATGTTTTTTTCGAGACAGGGTTTCTCTGTGTAGCCCTGGCTGTCCTGGAACTCACTCTGTAGACCAGGCTGGCCTCCAACTCAGAAATCCACCTGCCTCTGCCTCCCAAGTGCTGGGATTAAAGGTGTGCGCCACCACCGCCCGGCCAAGGAAAACATTTAATTGGGGCTGGCTTACAGTTTCAGATGTTCAGTCCATTATCATCATGGCAGGAAGCATGGCAGCCTGCAGGCAGACGTGGTGCTGGAGGAGTTGAGAGTTCTACATCTTGATTCAATGGCAGCTAGGAAAAGACTGTCTGTGTGTCACACTAGGTAGAACTTGAGCAAATATTACCTCAAAGCCCAGCATCCATAGTGACACACTTCTTTCAACAAGGCCATACCTACTCCAGCAAGGCCATACCTCCTAATAGTGCCACGCTCTGGGCCAAGCATATTCAAACCACCACACCTTCCAAACCTCAGTTTGCTTCCTGTACAAGGAGAATCAAACCAAAGCAGCCAAGCATGGCAGTAGCTGGAAGCCCCATTGTGGGCTGTTTCATCATCTCTGTGTCTGAGGAGGTAGTCTTGCTGTAGTTGGCCTGTTAGGGGAGCATGGGGCCCAGGTGGTTTGAGACTGAGTGCTCCACCTGTCTGCTCTGTCCTGGCAGTGCGCTGTAGTGTACAGTGTGTGCACGGCCGATTCCGGAAAGAAGAATGTTCCTGTATCTGTGATGTCGGCTATGGAGGAGCCCAGTGTGCCAGTGAGTTACAACCCGAGGTTGTTCTCAGACCCCTTTTCAGTGGGGTGCTGGGTCTGATTTTATCAGCTCGTAAGAGTCCGTGTGTCAAGTGATTACCCATTCCTTGTTTAGGAAAATCACCCTAATATTCTGGAGTTGACCACAGTGGGGTATTTATACCAGTGAAATTAGCAAATGCTATAAGTTATGGATTTTTTTAAATGACATTTTATTTGTGTGCATGTGCCACAGAGCAGGTGTTGACAGAGGACAATTTGTCGAGGTTAATTCTCTCCTTCCACTATATGGATCCTGGGGATTGAACTCAGAACATCAGGCTTCTGGGCAGCAAGTGCTTTTACCTACCGAGCCATCTCGCCCACCCTGGATTCCCCAGACCCACCCCCTCTTGAGAGATCTCATGCTTGCAAACGTACCAGCACACTATTGACTTTTGTCCACTTCTCGTATGGAGTAGTTAACGAGAGGTTGGGGTACCAGAAGCATAGCTCAGCCCGATGGAGAAGGTAGGAATTCTAAGGTCAGCACACAAACTCAGCTTTTCCTGTTACTCCCGGCAGCCAAGGTGCGCTTTCCTTTTCACACCTGTGACCTGCGGATTGATGGAGACTGCTTCATGGTGTCTCCCGAGGCAGACACCTATTATGGAGCCAAGATGAAATGTCAGGTGAGGGCTGACCCTTCCCTTCCCAGGGTCTCAAACAGGGTGGCAATGGAGTGGCTTTGGACCAAGAGATAGTTCCTTCAACTTCCCCTGGTCTCGCTCTCTTCCTTAGCATAGCACAGGAGTCATAGATTCAAGGCTCATACAAGCCAGGGTCCCACTTAACAGCCAGGAACAAAGCCCCACTCCACTCCTCTCCTAGGAGCTGTCTTGACTGAGCTTTGGCCGGTGACTGGCATGCTGGGATGCCAGGTCAGGATGACTAGAACTCAGGCTTTTCCAAAGTCAGAAACCAATATTTTTGGTCTTTCTTGACTTGCTAACATTGACAATTGATCCGAATCTAGTTAACACACAGGTGATTGAGACAAAAGTCTTCTGAGAGCAGGAACCAGGCGTGGCCTATAAGCTGCCAACTGGGCCATGTGCACACATAGAAGGAAGTCTGTCAGGGAGAGGATGAGGAGGACCTCCAGTCTCAGAAGCAGGAACATGTTGAGGGTGGAGATCAAGACAGCCTAGCCAACACACATATTCGGAATCCTGGCCATGGTGGGGCAACCGAATGTAAAAAAAGGTGTAGAAAGTTCTGGGTCTGAACAACTCTACAGGCTGTCCCATATGACTCGGAGTGGGGTTACAGGGAAAAGGTGGGGTGCTAGCCCAGATTGAGAGCCAGAAAGTGCAAGACATCCTTGCCTTCTACCTGGGCCGCCTGGAGACCACCAACGAGGTGACTGACAGTGACTTTGAAACCAGGAATTTCTGGATCGGTGAGTGCATGGCAGTGGGAGGGTGTGGTTAAGTGGGAGGAATCGGAACCCTACAAGTCTCCAGGAAACATGGACTACGCATGTGCTAACAGATAGCAAGGGTATGGGAAGGGCTTGGGGCATGGGTCAGTAGACTAGACAATCTCCTTCCCTGGGAAGAGGGATGCAGGAAGGGAAGTACCACGGGGTGGGGAGAATTCTGAAAAGAGATGTTTAACAACTGGGAGTTCAAAAGGCATTAGGCAGCAGGCTTCTGGACTCTCAGATAGTAGGCAACCTTGACTACCCTGGTCCAGGGCTCACCTACAAGGCAGCTAAGGACTCCTTCCGCTGGACAACTGGAGAACATTCATCCTTCACCAGTTTTGCCTTTGGGCAGCCTGACAATCAGGGGTGAGTCTGGGATATTTACTCTCCTCTGGGGCCACTTGCCACTTGGGCCTGCCTGGTTGGGCTTCGGATGCCACTGAAAAACCTTCACCCAGCCTATATAGGTCTGGATCTTACCTGGTTTTTGGTGCCAGGGAAGCCTGGACCCAGCTGATGAAGGTAAGGGAGACACAGAAGGCACATTACATAGAAAGGGTACCCAAGAAGTCTCCATCCACCTATCATTGCCATTTTCACATGATATATATTCCCTACTCCCTCACCTGCCTACTGCCTGCATCAATCCATCATTTCTGGTACCCACCCATCTGCATCCTTCATGCGTACCTCTATCAGCTGATCCACCAACTGTCCTGTACAGAGAACATTCTGGTTATGTGACATTTCCCTGGTCTTCAAAGCCCAGGAGTGCCAGAGAGGCACGAAGATCGCCATCTATAGGATCTATATGAGTCTATAGGATCAACAAGGTCTCCACATATTCCCCCCCAGCACACCCTCACTACAGTCAGGCCTGAATGGACTTCCAGCATATATTTTCTTGATGGCAGAAGGGTATGGTCCTGTATATTCCTGCTGTGACCAAGTGCCGGACTGGGGTGGGTGGAGGGTTACAGAGAAGACCTTCCAGCTTCCCTCCGGAGAGCTGCAGTGTATGGGGAACACAGAATGGGCACTAGCTCCCAGCAGCCCTGTCTGCCTGTGATGCACCAGGACCTCACAGATGCAGGTGGCCTTGTGGGATGGAGGGTTTAAGACTCTACTAGATTCCTAATTTCACTTCTCCACCTAAGCACTCTTTATCCTGGCCCCACAGGTTTGGGAACTGTGTGGAAATGCAGGCATCCACTGCCTTCAACTGGAACGACCAACGTTGTAAAACTCGAAACCGTTATATCTGTCAGTTTGGTGAGACCATGCTCTCAGCTCCCTTCCCCTCTTACCTTTCTCCTGATGTGTTAACAGCCTGACCCATGCTGCTAGGATATCCAAGCCATAGATACAGTGTGTGTCTGAATGCAGAGTCAGAGATGGTTTCCTGCTCAGGGCCTTGTATTTGTAACTATCTCAAGCCGAGGGACCGATGACTGCCCAGCTTTGAATACCATGTTCATACAGAGAAACGAGATTGGATCCACATCTTGCTTGGGAGTTTTCCAGGGTTCCTCTCCTTCTATCATGAAAGCTACCACCTGGGGATCTGTTGTCAGATCCCCACTCTGCCTAAATTACCTACAGCCCAATAAGATCTGGGGGAGGTGGCAGAAGTGAAACCTGGACCAACATCAGCTCCCAGCATTCATCTATTAGAATCTGGAGTTTCCCAAGAGATCACAGTCATGATGAGTACAGCAGAGTCCCCACGGAGAGAGGAAGACTCACTTTATTATGCTTCCTTTCCAGCTCAGAAGCACTATTCTCAGTGGGAGCCAGGGTCCTGAGCCTGGCCAAGCAGCTCTTCTGCCAGCCCCTGAATGCACAAATCAGTTTGCTTGACTGCTCACCTGTGGGAAATAAGTGCCTGGCTGGGACTGAATGCCCAACCTCCCAAGAGGTCTCAGACCTTGCACAATGCTGGATGCTGGGTAGGAGAGTAGTGTAGCCCCTGGGAAATAAATAGAGAGTCTTAAAGGAGCCTAGCATGGGAAAAGAAGCGCCAGGATCCTCAGCCTGCTTTTGATGGGAAAGATGGGCTTTCATGGGCTCCTAAAGCAAAGGCCAGAGCCAGTGGTCAGAAGAAGCTGTTCTGCTCCATCCAGACCAAACTCCCTTGAGCAGCTGGAGTTTTCCAGACTCGTGGCTTTATAGAGGATTAAATGATGTTATGAATCAGCTGGTTTTGCAATTCATCAATTTTTTTCTTTTTTTTTTCCTCTGTGTATTTTGTGTCACTTTTGTGTTGTTGTTGCAGTTATTGTTTTGTTTCTTTGTGCTGACCAAGTTCAGGCTGGCCTTAAACGCACCATGTAGCCTGGCCTGGCCTCCAGCTCACAGTAAGCCTCCTTCCTTAGCTTCTCAAATACTGGGATTTCAAGCATATGCTATCATGCCTAGCCAACTGGTGGCTTTGAAAGGCGATTCAGACGCTGGAGAAGATGATCCTGGGAAGATCAGAAAGGGCTGGTGCTTCACTGTCCCTTTCCTATTAGTCCTCCGTCCCTCAGGCTCCCTGGTAACGTAAAGACAAGATTCTCTCTGCTTCAGTGGATCCTCCTCCCCCCCCCCCCCTCCTCCTCCTCTTCTCTTCTTTTCTCCTAGCAGCTTTCAGCATTGTGCCTCAAGCAGTAAGATAGAAACGACCCTGAAAATCTAGGAAATGATGTGTGCATGTGTGTGCGTGTGTGTGTGTGTGTGTGTGTGTGTGTGTGTGTATTCTCCACCTGTGGAGTACTGTCTCACAGCATCTTATCATCAAATAAATCAAATAGCATCTTACAGTTGAAGAAATGCCAGCAGAGAGGTTGAGTAACTTGTCCAAAGTAACACAGCTGAGAAACAAACCTAGTTAGTTGGGCTATCATTTAATTCTTCGATTTTCTTTCACTGATAGAACCTGTTCAATGAAGCTAGGGAGGCTCAGAAGAAAGGCTGCTGTTCCTTCACTCGTAGTGTGGACACACGAGGGGCTAGCCACGTGCCTCTCTGTGTGGAATTTCATCTGGGGACTTTCTTTCTTCCTTTCTTTCTTTTTTTTTTACTTTATTTTTCTTAAACGTGGCAAACTCTTCTAGGCCAAGGTGTTTGTTTTCCCCAGTCTATAAAAGTTCATTATGTATGTGGTCATGGCTGCCAGGACAGGCCTCAAGCATTGCCCACTGTTTCAGATCCCTGCCTGAACGTAGAAGAGTCCTACGTTTTTGCCTTTGCACCGGCCTGTAGTTAGAGTCTTACTGGGGGAAACAAGCAACCTTAAGCTGTTTAAGAGTTAGATACCAAAATAAACTCCCTCTGGGAACCACGTCCTTGCACCCGAGGCCCCGCCCACTACCCTGGCCCCGCCTCATTCGTGTGGGATAGTCCTGCCCACTTCCTGGTTCTCCTATCCCACTTCTACTGGAGTTTGTCACCTGGCCCACGCTCTTCTGCAGGGAATCGGTGGGGAAGTGGCACGTCTGTTGCAGGGTGGGTACTCCGAGGACAGGCGTGTTGGAGACAGTAACTGCCTGCGGAGACTGGAAGGAGGGGAAACCTCGGACGCCAGACTCTCCCACCCCAATCTCTGCTCAATAGACTGGGCTGCCAGAGATGGCAGATGTCCAGCAGAAGCATAGTCACTGCTAGGGTCTCAGGAAGTGTTCAGATATATATCCTACATAGCCATCAGTCCTAGGGAAATATACAGGTTATTCAATAAACATACATTGGCTAATGCATCAGAAAGATTTTGTGCTTTGTAGTAGATTTTCATAGTAAGTTCTGGAAAACTTACAGAACCTCGCTTACCATATGCCTGTCTGTATTTCCATACAGATTTCATCTGGGAACTTTATTTTTCTGTGATGTGGAAAATAGGTCAGGGTTTTTCCTCCCCAGACTATATAGATTCATTATGCCGCCAGGTGTGGTGGCTTACTTCTATAATTCCAGTACTCAGAAGGCTGAGGCTGGAGCAATTCAATTATCTCAAGGCCAACTTGGGCTGCCTAGTAAGTCCAAGGCCAGTGTGGGCTAAAGTGTAAGACTCTGTCTTACAAATAAATAAATAAATTGGGGCATCGATATAACCCAGCCGTCGAAGGTACTTGCTGCTGAGTCTGTTGACCAGGGTTCAGTATCTGGGATTCACATGATGGAACCAAAGAACTGACTCCTCTGACTGGCAGTGCACACATACATTAAATAAATATAAATAACCACAGTGCTTCCTTTCTGTGTTGGGAGAACTGACAAGAAGCAATAGGAACTGGATCTGGTTCTTTCAGAGTTTCTGCGAGTAGCCTGAGTTTAGTGTCTTACACCTGTGAGCTCAGTGTTCAAGAATTTAAGGGAAGGAGAATCTGCATTCTGGACCAGCCTGAACTACATAGTAATCAGGTTGGGGAGGCTTTATTTTGCCTTTCCAGGGATAGCAGGGAGATAACAGCAGCTGAGTGTGGCCCAAACCCAGAGTAGTCAGTTCATGTCCAAGAGCAGAGGAAGAATGGAGAACAGACCATCTGGGCTTCTCGAGAGAAAGATTTGTTTTCCTTGGAAGCAAGCAGATACCTCCTTGGTATACTTTCTGGCTTAAGCTGCTATTCTAAATGTGGTTCTAGAAGGTCCTTTCTAGGTCAGAAGCCTGGTGGTTTTGTAGGTTTGGTTGAAAGCATCTATCTATAAAAACCTGAATGTGCTTATATATTTGCTAATGAATTGTGTCCATATAATGCAGTACTCATATGATACATATATTACAAAGAGGCATAAATAAAGACCCTCAAGAGTAAATATGATGAGGAATGTAAATTTCTTAATTTTTTTTTTTTCCTGATACTGGAGATAAACCCCTCACACATGCTAGGCAAGTACTTTACCACTGAGCTATGTTCCCAAATCACGTATTAATATTTTTGCTTTGCACCTGATGAGACTGTCTTGGGGTGCTTGGGCAATGTTCCATGCCACGTATGGTTCCTGGAGACCATACATAGACGAGCTTTACTAACTAGGGCACCACTAACTGGGGTTCTCCAGGGAGCATCCTTTTACTCTACAGCCATTAGCACAACCATTTGACCTGACTTCAGTATGATCTCTGTACTTTTATGGCAGGAGCCATTAGGTCCTGCAAAGCTTTGCCTTTGCTGGACTATTTGTTCTAAGAGACCACAGGATTAACTGTCTTACCACAGCATGCCATGGACTGCTGGAGTCCCTTCCCTTAATACTAGCTGGATTTTCACTGTCCTCTGGCTACTGATGAGCCTTAGACTGCCCACTATTTCCACTGGGCTTCTTATCACTCCATGTATTCTCTCAGTCCTGAATTTGTATGAATCTTGGTTGTAAGCTACAGAAACTAATTCTGACAAGTCTAAGCAGGAATGAGTTCATGGAGGACATTTGTCAGCCCCCTAGGGCTGTGGAAGAGTAAGAGAATCAGATCTGGAAGAGATCACATGGCAGAGCCATGAGAAACTCGTTGCCTCTGTAGCTGCAACTGACTGAAGTGGGAGAGAGATGCCACCATCTTTGAAAGCTGGGCTCTCAGGTCTGATTGCAAGTCCAAAGTCATGTGCCTTAAAGCCTGGCTTTCAGAAAGGCTGGGAAAGAAAGGTAGAGAGATGTATATTCAACTTTTTCGGGAATGTAGGATCTTAGTTTGGTTCCACGTGGCAAGAAACAGACTCCTACAAGTTGTCCTCTGAGCTCCACACACATGCAGTGGCACAAGTGTGATATATATACACACATGTACAAGATAGATAGATAGATAGATAGATAGATAGATAGATAGATATTTAAAAATTAGAAATGGAGCCAGGCATGGTGGTATACGCCACCCAGAACTCAGAACTCAGGAGACAGAGGCAGGAGGATCTCTGTAGGATGGAGGCCAGTTTGGTCTACATAGTGAGTTCCAGGACAGCCGGGGCTGTTATACAGAGAAACTCTGTATTGAAAAACCATAAATTGATAGATAGATAGATAGATAGATAATAAAATAAACAAAATGAAAAGAGTTTTAAAATAACAAGGTTTGAAAGTTCTCCTAATGGACTCTTGTGTGACTGTTCAGGTTAATGACCACCAAGCCTGCCCTTGCATTTGGGAATACAGAATGGGATCTCATCTGTTTTTGCTATCATTCCACACCAATGGGTCAAAAGAGTCCCAGTTCAGACCCTTAGTTGCCTATACTACTATCAATGTGAATTTAACAAGGGACTGAGTCCCTTGTTGGACAGCTGCCTCCCAGGTCACAGGAGAATCTGGGGCAGGACTGAGACCACAAACGCCCTCCAGATCCCATCTGCACGATGATGAGGGGAACCCAAGGTCCATAGCACCCTCCTCCCAGGCTTGCCCAATCCTCTGCTATAGTTCCTAGTTAATCCACTGAGCTCAGCTGGCCCACACGTTCTAAGGGAGCCATCTTCCCACGGTTCAAGGAAGACACGTGATCCTTCTGTCCACAGTATCAGGAGGCAGTGTAACCATAACAACAACTGAGGGCTCTTTCTCCAGATGGAACTTTGCTCTCTGCTTCCTTGACCCTGTCATATCCACCAGGAGCAGGCTGCAGAACATGGGGCTCCTTGTATGTGCTTTAAACTGTCTCTAGCTGACACTTGACTGGTATGTTTAACTGGCAACCCTAACATGTCTCATAACCCTTCTTTTACCAATGCGTGTTGTGGGGTAGAAGAAAGGTGGCTCGGTGGGTCTGAGTGACTCCTGCAGTTCTGGATTCCTGCAAGCATGATGGCAGGCAGGAGAGTGAACCAGGAAGAGGTGAATATGAAAACTGGGTTCAGCCCAGCTTACTCAGCCTGGCTGGACCAAACTTCTGGATCTGATACCAGGTGGTTTATTGTAAGCATAATTAAAATAGAATTTTAAACATAAACACAATAGAATTTGAAAAAGAAAATTCCCAGGCAATAATAATTCCAGTTTAAGGTGCCCAATAAAGTTTAAGGCACGGCTGCTCAGAAACTCCTTTGTGAGGAGCAGGTATTGGTAGGCCTTTAATCCCAGTATCTGGGAGGCTGAGGCAGGCAGATCTTTGAGTCTGAGGCCTGCCTAGTCTACAGAGTGAGTTCCAGGAAAGCCAAGGCTACACAGAGAAGCCCTGCCTTAAAACAAACAAAAGAAAACAAAACAAATGTAAAAAAATCAAACAAACAAAC